AAAAAATATATTGAATATATTAAATAATTGTCAGATTTAATCCATTTCATATGTATATATATATACATTTTAACTCAATGTTATGTGTTCTTTTATTTTGATGATTCGCCTCCTCTGTCTTCATTTCATGTGAAATGTTTTATAATTTTGCAATAAAATAAAAAAGACATTCAGAATTTTTAATTTCATGGATATTTTATTAGGTCCCAGGCGAATGTGTAGTATTGTGGTATATGCTGGGATTCAATGTAGAAGGATGGGTTCTTGTAGTGATTGCGGTAATTGTTAGTGTAAATTGGTTGCGAGTCGGATTAACTAGGTGTAGAACAGACACTATTGACCAACCTTTCCCCCTTTCTCCCTCGGTCTTGTGCCACAAATTAACGTATCCACATTAATTAAATAAACATTTTTCTCATTACTTCTCGGGCTTTGGTTAGAATAAAAGAGTAATATCTGTTCTCTTCTCATTCTGCAGTCGCTCTCTCACAGACGTGCCGTCGCCTCCCTCTGTCTTTTTTACAAATAGTTTCACGGTAACTGCTCCGATGAGATGTTTTCATTGGTTCCCAGACTTCATGAATTTAAGCGTTTAACTAGGCTGACATCTCGCTCTCACCCCTTCACTGTCGAAACTGTTAAATGTAGCCGCCTCTTCTACTCCAATAGCTTCACATCTCGCTCTTCTTACCTGTGGAACTCCCTCCCCTTTTCCTGTTTCCCTGATAGCTATAATCTCCAACTATTCAAATGTAATGTGAATCGACGTCTCCAGATTCCTTATCCCCTATCCTTCTCTTCATCCTTTCCTCTATTACTCCTATTTACTCTTGCTCCAACTCTCTTTAACCCCTTGCATGCTAGTGGCGTCCCACCTTGTTTGGAGTGAAACACTTTAAAAAATTGTGATGGAGAAGGAACTAGGTACCGGGAATTTCAATACTGCAACAGCAACTTCCTCATCACACTAACAGTTGTCGCGGGAAATGGGCAGTTTTTGTCCTTGCCTCATATGCCTAGGAATGCGTATGGACATCCTACATAAAGAAGACTTTGTATCATATCCCGCGTCAGTGGGTTGGTCAAGTAAATAACTTCCCATCTCAATAGAAACGACAATGCGCAAGATAAAAGTCAGAAATGATAATTAATGCGATTTCAAAGAACAATGGGGAAAAAATGGAATAGTTGCACTTAAAGAACCTATTTTCATTTAATGAAACGAAAATTAAGGCGACACCTCGAGACGTACTGGAAGTGTTTTTTCGTTTTTGCATTATCAAATATTGTCTTATTTAATATCGAATTTTGAACGAGGCACCCAGTGAGGATTATTCTTGTATGTGCCATGTCCCTTCAGGACGTTGACAATCATGGCTGTTCGCAATTTCCTGTCCTTTGTAACCCTTAATAATTTTCGTCTTTTTGCCATCTCTCCAAAACCCTGCTTTGCCATCCATTCGCTCAGCCTCGTCAAGTAGGTTGTGCGTTGCTTTCCTCTCTCCCCCTTACTTTCAATCTATCCTGTGAGTATCAAATTTTCCAAGCCCTCTTTCCTCATTATGCGCCTCAGAAATTTCAACCGTTTTTTTCCTGATGTTCAGTATAAATGTCCTTTTTGTTGCCATAGTCTCTAAAACTTCGTCATTGCTCACATGTTCAGTCCATGGCATTCTTACTATCCTTCTGTAGAATCATATTTCTGTTGCTTCAAGTCTCTTTTTCATATGTGAAGAGATTGTTCAGTATTCACTGCCATATAGGAGGACTGATACTACATAAGAGTTCGGTACTCTTTTCTTTGTTTCTGACGATAATTTTCTGTTTCTTAATACTTTGCTCAGCTTTTAGAAGGCATCTTTCGCTACCCCAAAACGCCTGTGGAGTTTCGTGGAGGTACGGTGAGGTAATGTATAGTAGTTCAGTTTGAGCAATCGAAGAGGCGAGTTTCACATACTAATACCATTGGCAAAGGTATGAATCGATCTTTTCTATCCATCAGCTATTGGATGAATAGCAGGACAGACTGGGTCCTATAGACATGGTTGACAACAAGTCTACCGCAGAAAGGAACGACAAGCTAGTACGGGAAAATTGTAATTGTTATTGGCCCTGATCTGGCATCTCGTCTGCAGTCGCTCTCTCACAGACGTGCCGTCACCTCCCTCTGTCTTTTTTACAAATAATTTTATAGTAACTGCTCCGAGGGGCTGCTTTCGCTGGTTCTCAAACTTCATAGAATTTAAGCGTTCTACTAGGCTGGCATCTCGCTCACACCCTTTCAAAACTGTTAGATGTAGCCGTCTCTTCTACTCTAATAGCTTCATGTCTCGCACCTCTCGCCTGTGGAAATCCCTCCCCTCTTCCTTTTTTCCCTGATAGCTATAATCTCCAACTTGATAACTGACATCCATTAAACATGGCACATGGAACTACCCCAGTGAGCGAAATAAAGGGTTCAGTTCGACATTCCAACCACCTGAAGAAGGCCGGAGCGTACAACGGCCAAAACGTTGTAATAAATATGGCAACAAAGATGAGGTCAATAGTCCGAGTAATGTAAATAATGTACATAATACCTCATCTCCGAAATATAGACAGATAATCAAATGTAATGTCAATCGACATCTCCAGATGCCTTGATCTATCCCCTATCCTTCTCTGCATCCTTTCCTCTATCACGCCTCTTTGCTCTCGCTCCAACTCTCTGTAACCCTTTGTATTCTAGTGGCTTCCAGCCTTGCTTGGGTTGAAACGCTTAAAAAAAAACCTTTTGCCTAGTCAGTCATGAATCGAATGAGACACAGTCGCCCAACTGTGTATCATGGGATGGCACTTAACTTTCTGGTTTTCCGTCTTCTGCTTTCCCGCTTCCCAGACATCCAAATTATTGTACCTGTTTGATTTGGGTATCTCCAATCTGTAATTTGCATGTTTGGCTGTCTCTTTTTGCTAACAACCATGCATTCAGTCTGCTTACAATTGAGGTTCAGTCTTTTCTTTTTGCTTTCTTTAAGTAGTAATGGCCAACCAGATTAATTTCACTAAACTTTACACCTCACTTAGTGTTTTGTAGAAAGACTGACTCACTTCTCCACATTTATTATTGAATCATCGACTAGTCTATCCGCTCATAGAACATCTGCTCATAGAACGGGAGCAAACGGTGGCTCGCAAAGGCGTAGCACTTTTCGGCCGTACGCGTGTCGCACTGAAGTACTGTATACCCAAACCACGTTCTCATGTGATTAAACTCTTCTTTCCTCAACCTTTTGTTTCCAGCGAGTTCCTTAAAGTCTTATTAACCAGAATTTATACGAACTTTATAACACTAAGTTAAGATGGTTGATTTCTGTAAATTAATTGAGATAACTGCTTTAGTTTACTTTCTTTTACCATACGGTCAGTTTTAGACCCACTAGAGTAATAGGGTGTAATCGATTTCTATTTTTTTCTTCAGATTAGGTCATATGCAGTGGTGTGCAGTAATATGAATCCATTTTCGGTTTGTATGTTGAAATTTGTTTGGCCTTGAACAATATTGCGTCATCCGTGATTGCATCAGATTTTTATCACGCCCAGACATTATTGTCTCGAGTGTCGATTAGTTGTTTGTGATGGATGTTACTCCAAGGAAGCGTACGAAAATTGTAACGCTGCACAAACACACTGGCAAACCTTACCATTGAGCAAATCACAGTACTATAGACTGACCCGGAAACTCTCCTGACTTAAATCCAATCGAGAATCTGTGGTCAATCTGCAAGGAACAACTTCGTGGAATGGACATACGAGTCATGTACACTGAGTTATGTTTCGTTGGAAAAATATGAAAAAAAAAGTAAATAATGCATTATGTTTCAATTAATTTGCACAAGGTTGTATTAGATGATCAATTTAATCATGATTGACCACTTTCACAAAGATACTTACTAAGCTTTTAATCCATAACAACCGGGTCCACTATTTTTAGGCAAGAGAAAATAGAATGAACTTACCTTCTAAGATACGAGGCACAGTTTACCTATTTGATGCCTTAACTAACATAAAACTGAATGGCACACACAATTTATCATTTATCAGTTATGTGCCGCGCGTGACACACGCTTAGGCGATCATGTATCTTTCGATACATGACTGATGAAGCAGATTTTTCCAGCAGTAGGTTGCCATTTTCTTCGGTAGACCAGTTGCCATCCAAGGCTATAGAACCCGGTTTGTCCTGCTATTTACCCATAGCTGGTGGGGTGAGGAGAAGAGGATTCATACCTCTCCTAAGTGTATCAGCAAGTATATGAATGTAATGGATTCGACTGGAATACGAACGGCTCAATCCGAGCCGCTAGCCATCACTCTACCGTGTCTTCTATGTCATTTATAATTAAACGATAGAAATACGATGATTGTGGCAGCTCGACGTAATGTAATGGTTAACAAGCTTGTCTCGCTAGAACAATTCCGACTGAATAGTGAGTTCGATCCTCACTGGGTACTCCATGCTTTCAGGATTGCGCCACATCTAAGCTATACTTAGAAAAATCGCCACAAAAAATGCAATGAAGGACGATACCACATCGCATACAAATGGAAATCGTTGTCTTTAATATCGAATTTTGAACAATAAATGAGGATCGATCTTATTAGTAAGTAGTAGTCAACCAGAGTAGTCTCATTCACCATAACTCCACGCTTCGTCAAGGTGGCTGATTTTACAATATATCAAACCTTATTGTGTTAATATGATATCAAAATTCATACGGGGCACCAAGTGACGATCGAATTCATTTCCAAGTAGTAATGGTCACCCAGGCTAGTCTCACTCACCTTTAGCCCACACTGAGTTAGGGTGGTTGATTTTACATCTACAATGAGATGTGAGGTTTGTAGTTGAGATTCGTACATACGATTCATCGCTGAAGAGCCTGGAAAAATGGTCGGTTCCCTGTACCGCTGTAGTAAGTACCTGACTCCTAATTTCTATCCTTTACTTTTTACAACTCTTACGACCACATCATATTGAAAACACCAGTTCCCATACGATCACTGATATTAAGTAATGTCGAGTCTGGTCAGAATTCAGATGGGTGACCGGTTGGGAATATCAGGTACTGTAAGCTAGGATGCGCGAGTGATGCAATATATAATGGCGCGAAATTGTCAAACTTCTCGTTGCTCTAGAACCATGAGCGGTTTGCGACGTTTCGTTTGTGGGAAAGGAGTTGCCACCCACATGGAAAGCGTCCAGACGAACTACGTTCCTTAGTTCCACCAGTTCTACCCTTCACAGCTAAGACCCACCATGCCACGCCCATTGTAGCGACGCACCCTCATTCCACGCGAACAGCTTCTTTTCCCGAACCGCTGGGTGGAATCGACACCCAAGAGGATGATTCCCGATTATTACAATCTTAACCTGTTCCGGTTTAAGATTTACCATTACCTCCCCATATGAAAGATACTCGCAATACACGCAATACTCATCCCACTTTTAACTCTACTAGATACGTAAATGAAAACTAGATTTTTGAATGGTTAACGGCGATTCATTTAGTTTTATTCGAGTCCTTTTTCGCTTCCCATTGTTGTAAACAATCCACTTTTCATCACCTGTGATCGTTCTTTTTCAAAATTGAGCCGGTATTACATTTTTCCGTTAAAATCACGAGGTACACAAATATAGTAACGTCTCACGTATTCAGCTGTTTTCAAATGCCTTACACCGCTCGTATGAGATATGTGGAATATCTCTGTGATATCCCATGCTGTGTTTTAAATCAGCGCTCCCATTTGGCCATCAACGACTGCAGATCTGAAGGAATGTTCGCGATCTTCCAGATCAAAATTTCTACTTCTAGACATAGCGAACCAACTACAAATGGCACCATCACCATAAACGGCAGCTATTTTTTGCTGTTTGTATAGTGATTTTTTTCCTTTCCAGAAATAAAAGATCCAGAAATGGTAAAAACGCATCTTATTTTTCTCCATTTTCATTGTTATAATAAAAACATTTAAAATTCCCAATCCATAAAGAAATGGTCCCGCGTATCCATATAAACTACACTTAACGTAACCCTCTACCTTGAGTGGCTTCCGCGCTTTGTACAGGTTGAATCTTATTTTAAAAAAAAGAGAAAGATGAATTGAAATTTCACCTTTCAGAAGATGAATACGTCATAGATTTCAGTCACATGTGAAACGATATTCCGTATTTAAACGCCATCTATTGATTGTTGCTTGAATTGCTTTACGTCTTAGCAACCTTTTGCGGATTATTAAAGCCGAAACATATTTAATTTGTAAGAATAATTTTTCTTACGAGTGAATATTGCATTCAAATTCTTTTGAAAATAATAATGATTTTAACAGATACAAGTCCTACTATTAAACCCGTAGGTAGTAGGTTAGATAGATTCATGCCTTTCTCAAGGTTATTTGCTCTTACGTAAAAGTAACAAACCCGATTAGAATTCAAACTTGGCTCTCTGATTTCTCATTGCAAGCAGCCATCCATTATAACACTCTCAAATCCTGAAGTGAAATGTGCGAGTTATTGGACAAGAGAAAGACAATAGAGAATCGTTGCCATTTTTATGAGAATTAATTTAAAAATGAAAACAAGTATCAATGAATTTGGGGAGCATTTTGATGAATAGTCGAGGGAAAAAGTAGGTTTTTATTTTTATTTTTTTCCTGAGAGAAAGCTTGGGCATGTGACAAAATAAGACAAAGGCAAACACCTACGTTTACTGCGATCGTGAATATGATTGCAAATGTAAATTATCAGATCTTGATGAGTTCGCGGAAATACATGTGCTGATTGATTGCCATTTCCCCATAAAGTTCTCACATCACGCTTTCTTTTTTTATTTTTGCTGCTCTTATCTATTTCAGTTTATTCATATCTATCTATCTATCTATCTATCTATCTATCTATCTATCACGGTTTCTTTTTTATTTTTGTCTGTCCCTATCTATCTATCTATCTATCTATCTATCTATGCCTCTTTTTTATTTTTGTCTGCTCTTATCTATATATCTATCTGTTTATTTATATCTATCGTTTTTCTTTTTTTTAAGCATTTCACCCCAAGGTGGGAGTGCCACTGGTTCGCAGGGAGAATGAGGAAAGGATAAAAGATAAACGTTGTTCAAGATATCAGAATATGGCGATTGACGTTATATTCAAATTTTTGAAGATTGTAGTTATCAGGGAAGCAAGTAAACGGAAGGGAGTTCTACAGGTGGTAAATGTGAGAAAGCCGTTGGAGTAGAAGTGGCGGTTACATTTAACTGTTTCAACGGTAAAAGGGTGGCACGTAGATGCTAGTCTGGTACCACGCTTAAATTTATGTAGTCGGGGTACCAGGGAGAAAAGCCCGACAGAACAATTGCCATGAAAATATTTGTAAAAAAAGTCAGAGGGAAGCCACTTCATGTCGGTGAGAAAGTGACTGAAGTCGAGATGTCAGTTCAGGATCGATTACATTGCAGATCCATCTTGGGATCATGTTGAGAACCTCAGGATGAACAGCTGGGGTACCAGACCAGATATGGCAACAGTACTCAATGCACAGATGAATGGTGGATTTCTAGATATGTAAGAAGGACTCTGACGAGAAAAATAAACCTTCTGGCACGGAACAGTGAATCTATCTATCTATCTGGAAAATGAATCAGGGATATGACAAGCTTCTTGACCTGTTTCTTAACAACAGCTTAAGAAGGATCCTCAAGTTTAGATTGCGAGACCAGTTGATAACTGTAGAACAACTCCAGCGTAGATCTGGAGAATCCCTTAGTGTCGTGGTATTTGGTGAAAATGAATGCTCATTGACAGCACTTTGGGGCAAGACTAAAACAAAGACTTCAATGTGGCACTGACCTGAAATCCTGAAGGAAGAATTAGAAAGGGATGATCAAATATGACATGGCAAAGAATTATAAAGAGGAAGAGCAACATAAGGGGCTAGCAATCCTGAAGTGAAGAGCAAGCAGCAGCCACGGACAGGGCAGAGTGGAAACATTTTGCGGAGGCCTAATACGCCACGAGACACCGACAAATAGATATAAAGATACTGAATAGCTGACTGGTAAATATCAACAAGTCATTGCAAATAATAGTGAATATATAATAGAAATGTAACTGTATTTTATGCTTTGAAGAATAAAGTTGGTAAACAAAAGCAGAAATCATTTTTGACATAACCTAATATTTGCATATAGCACTGTCACCAATTTAAATATATTAGTCAGCTAAATAAAAACTGGTATTAATTTTAGGTTTCTAAAAGAAAAACTCACTTTTGGTCAGCTGTATCGGTGTCGAATGAAACCAAGAGCAAAAGTAAAAGCACCAAAATTAAGCTTAATAAAACCTTGTTCATCTCTGTCTAATTATATAGTTGCAAGACGTTGAATAGGAATTAGAGAGATGACAAGTTTATTGATCTATTTCATATAAACTGTTTAGAAAGGCTCTTTAAGATTAGAAGACAAGTCCGGGTGAAAAAGTCGGAACAACTCTGTAGAACCACTTCATGTTGAGGTACGTCGAAGATGGAGGTTCATTGGTCGCACTTAAACACTCAAACGACGACTGAAACGTAGCACTGACCTCTGGGCTTACGAGGGCAAAAGTAGAGGCGGAAAATCAAAAACATGAAAGTGAAGGACTGTGTAGAAGGAAAAGAGAAACAAATGGACTGGCAATCATGATGTGATATGCTAGTGGCAGATATCGACAGGGCCGAGGGGAGACATTCTGTAGAGGAAGTATGAGCGATGAAGCAACAGGCAGAAACAGAGAGATATAAAAGAGAAAAGGTTTTTTTTATCAAAATTAAGTGGGAATCATTTTTTTAAAATCAATCCTATTAAATATAATATTCTTAATACTCTGCTGCTGGGTTTTAAAGAATCTCTCGATTGATTACTAACACAGTATTATTATACCGGAATAGACTTGGTACTCGATTTCGCACCAGACCAAGGAAGCTATGTGCAAGTTTGACGGTCGCCATCCAGGAGTGGACATTCGCTATTTACACGTTGACAGCGGTGATCCCGTGCGGTGAACACCTATGAACAAGGTCGTGCTTTTTACGCATGCGTGTGAAAAAATGAAAAACCTTTGAACAAATGGATATATAAACACCCGCTCCAGAGAGGAGTTGTACATTCTCTCAGATCACAGAAGAGAAAGTAAGGCTGCGCGTATCGGACAAAAACAGTGGCCATCTTATAATTTAATAGTTACAACCCAACTACATCAAATTTAATCGAATTATAAAAGTAATTGTATCTTTTAAAGACGTAAAACAACGATTAGCTTAAATATTTAAAAAAAAAAATATATCCTGTCTTGTTCAAGTATTATTGTTATGGATTTTAACCTCCGAGGAACAACAGACAAAAATCAATTCCCTACAAACTGTTGGTTAGATAGTAAAGTAGGCTGGAATCTCTTAGGAGAAAGAAATCTCTGAATTCAAAGCATGTCTTTCTAGTATGGGTAATATCCAAGTCCATGCACTGCCCTTAAAAACAAAAGATTGGTTTCTTTGTTGAATTGTCGCAATATTTTCAGTTTATTTTCTTTTTTCAGCTTTTGTTTAACACATTTATTTTTCTGTTTCATTTTCATGTCTCCATGTTTTCTTTCGTTGTATTCCCCCACAAATAGTATTTGAAACTGATTTTTATTCCCAAAAGAGAGATACGTTACTCATCTAATGCCGAAACCAATATTTTGGGTGTTTCTATTGATCATTTCTGGACGGCAAATACCCATCCCATTTTCTTTAGTCATTTATGCCGATGACCGATTTAATTTTTGTGTGATCGTTATCATTAACACAGCTATTAAAGTCGTTATTTTATTGGCCGCTTTCAGTCTGCCCGCCATATAAATTAACATAGTTTAAGAGAAAAACGACTGAGAAATAAAAAAGAGAAAGAAGAATATGACTCATAGTTATTTCGCCTACACTACTGCATTATTGCCTGTCTATACTGGCCCGTTTTGGAGAAAAATAGAAAAACTGCCATTGACTGGAAGCAAATGACTATGAAAAGTTTGATGACATTTTCTGATGGGAACCATAATTTTGGTTTTGACAGGATAGACAGCAGTACTTTCAAAGCAAAAACAACACAGCCAGTACACAATATTTCATCTTCTTTCCTCTAAGGCAACCAAAATTATCTGATGGATCAATTAAAGATTATTGAAATTAATATTATAAGGTTTTGCCGATATTTTTGAAGATTAATTTCTTTACATATACATTATATATATATATACAATGGAATTTTTCGAAACTAAAATGGAGTAACATAGCGCAGGGCCTGTGTGTACTACACTCGAATCCCCCAAACTGATGGAGGCAAGCCTGATTGGAGGTCCTGGGTAGTGCATTGTAACCCTCACTATCTTATCAACATTTCTTTAATTTCTACCTACATTTATATACGTTGCAAATTAAACGAAGCAAAACTCTATTAAAGGGTGAAATATCTACGCTTGTTTTGACGTCATTCCGAGGTCTTTTTATAAAATTTTTCGTCCAAATTCGTGAATTTGCTTTGCTCATCGTAAGTCTCCAATAAACATGCGTTATTTACCTACTATGGAGTATTGTTAAATTACGTTTTCTTCCCCATAGAAAGTGTTAGCCGTTTGGTGTTAGCATTGTAGCTACCCATTTGCTTCAAATATAACGTCGGCATTCGTTACGATTTTAAATCTTTGTTTCATGAGCTCTCACTTAGCATAGGCCAATTTGATTGGTTGAACAGATTATAAACAAGTTTAGTCTTATATACAAGTTTTATATTTTTTTCTTTCTCTTCCTCCTTTTCTCTGGAAAAGAAATTATATCTTGTGTCTTTATTTCTTGGTCATTTTCTTTTCTTTCTTTATTGTATGTAATTATATCCTTAATCAGCCATTTACTAACGCCTAATGAGATGTGTTGATATACATCGAAACATGAGTGCATTTATGTAGCGTTGTTTCAACATTATCCTACAATAAAGAATATTGGTCTCCTATTGGATTGTATTGAGCCCTATTTTAAATTAATGTTATGAACGTTTAAACTTATATTCGATTCGTTCTCATTTCATATATATATATATATATATATATATATATATATATAAAAGTGAACATTGAAGTCAACACTCAGAGTCGACCATATATATATATATATATATATATATATATATATATATATATATATATATATATATAATAAAAAGGAAGAACAATAAGATATATAATCCGGTGTTCTTATAGATATTTTTACAATATATATATATATATATATATATATATATATATATATATATATATATATATATATTGTCATCTACAGACAGACTGTTTCGATGTATCACAGCTCATCAGTGTGGCTAGACGTCCGGTTGGTCGGAGATTCTACCCCTAAGCCGTTTCAGGGATGAAGGTGAATTTAAGCGTATTTTATTTTAGATAAACACAGTGACTGAGAGAACTCGATTCGCTTTACCGAAGAGTCTTGCATTGTAGTAAATATACCTAGTGATATACGGAAAATATATATTTTAACAGATATCAAGGCAAACAGAATTTCTGGTTATAAGGTGCCCTATAATTATCTAGAGTAATAATTATTAAAATAATATAATTTCATGATATCGACTCAGAGATTCATGATTCTTCTCAGGGCCCAGACATGAATGATTGTATTAACCATAAGCCTTTTTCAAAACAGGAACTATGATCTGGAATACGAATGAAAGGAATGGCGACATGTACACTGAATCTATTATAGCAATTCAGGATATAGAATATAGGAAATAGTATATACTTCAGTCACCTCAATGTATGAATCAGTTATAACAAATTTAGTATAGAGATAAGGAAACGAAACTATGGTCGTTTTGCCCATCACCGCAAATTGCTACAAAACTAGAACATTAACCTGAAAAATTGGGTTCTATCCTTAAACAGTTTCGTTAAATCGAGACTTTGATATAGATGCCATGCATGGTGCCAAACTTATTAAAAAAATATCTAAAGTGTCAGCTTTCTCAGATCAATGATTTAAAATGGCTTTGAACGAATGAAGATTGTGTCTTTTGGCGAATGCCATTCTTCTTCGAACATTGTGGACTGACGCTATAGAATCTTAAAGAACTGTAGTAGATAATAGAAACAACGCTTGATGACTTTAAGCAGCGGAAACATTAAAATGGATAGCATATGTAACTCAAAGAAAAAATAATGACAAGATGTTAAACAAAAGTTTTGGAAGGAAATTCTCATCAATACTGGAAAGATCTATATCAGCTACTGGATTTGAGAAAGATATTTTCCTGAAAAATTATTTTAAGTGAAAGATTTTATAAATTTCAAACGTCAGAGGTACTGTTTTGGAAGTGAATTCCGAATATTTCCTTCTAAGGAAACTGTTTATATTATCCTTAACAATGTAACGTGTAAATTGGTGTTTGATACACCCAAATATCGATGACACTTCAGTGTTAAAGTTCATGTTAGCGTTGTCGAATCGTTATCAATAACATAATTTCTCATCATTCCCTAAATATATTCAGAGCGTTTTTCACCATCTAAAGTCATGGCTACTGCCCAAAATCTTGATATGAAGAAAGAAAATCTTTTGCAGGCCAACTAGTATGACTGATAAACATTGTCTCTTGTTAGTAGTACAGTAATTCTCATTAGTATTTTTTTTGTTTTTTATGTTATCTTATTGTTATTCATTATTTTCTATATCTTTTTTATAATTTCTTCCCTTTCTTTCTTTCCTTCTTTCTGTTTTGTTTTCTGTAAATCACTTCTTCCTTTCTTTCTTAATTTTTCGCTTTCTTTGTTTCTTTCTTTCGTTACCGTCCCCGTTTTCTTCTCCTCCCTCCCGTCAATTTTATTTCTTTATTTTCTTTTTCCTCTCAGTCTTCTTTCTTTCTTTCTTTCTTTCTTTCTTTCTTTCTTTCTTTTCCAATTTTACTTGTTTCTTTCCTTTTTCTTTTGCGTGATTCATTCCTTTTCATTTTTACTTTTTTATTTCTTTCTTTCTTTATTTCCTCTAAAGGTATTCTTTCTTTTCTTATTTTCTTTAATTATTCCCCTCTCTTTATTTCTTCCTGCCTTTTAATTTTTTGATTTCTTCCTTTCTTTCTTTTTTTTTCGTCTCTGTTTTTTTCTCAATTTTCTTTCTTTAATTTCTTTTCCTTCTTACTCTTCTTTTTTTCTTTCTTTTTCAATTTTTGCTTAATTCTTTCACTTTATTTATTTATTTATTTCCTTCCTTCCTCCTTTCTTTCTTTCTTTCTTTCTTTCTTTCTTTCTTCTCTCTAATTCTTTTACTTTTCTTCTTCATTTATTTCTATTTTTCTCTATTTTCTTTTTCTTTCTTTCTTTCTTTCTTTCTTTTCATCTTTTCTGATTTCTTTTTCTCTTTTTTCTTTCTTTCTGCATTTTTCATTCATTCAGCTTTTTCCAATGTCTTTTTTGTTTTTACTCCGTTTTTCTTTTCTCTCCTTTCTTCAATTTTCTCTTTCCTTTTTTTTTTTCATTTTATTTTTCCTCAATTTCCCAGTCTTCGTATTTCCACTTACGCCTCCATTCTCTTCTTTCTTTCTTTCAGTCTGTTTTTCTTTCGTTATCGTCTTAGTTTTTTTTCTCTTCCCCCTCTCAGTTTTCTTTCTTTACTTTATTTTCCCTCTCAGTCTTTCTTTCTTTCTTTCTTTCTTTCTTTGAGCTTTCTTAGCACGATTCTTCTCCTCCCACTTTTTTCTTTATCTTACCTTAAATCTTTCTCTTCTCTTTCTTTGAGTTATTTCTTTTTTTTATCTTTTTTCCTTCATTGTTAATATCGCTTTTATTGTCATTTTGAAGTTCTACTTTTAGCCATTCCCACCCCTCCCAGTCTCCCTCTCCTTCTCTCCCTATCAATCTCTCTCTCTTACACACACTTACTCAGCCTCCAAATAATCGAAGCGTAACAAATGGCGCACATTCAAACAGAAACGAATAAACACAACAACGCTTTGCTCTGAATACAAAATAAGCTTAAATAATTATCGTTAAAATTAGCTATTCACACAATCAAATACACAGACCGTAATATTCATATACGTACATTAAATTTGCTTTATCTTACTTTCGTTATTAGTTATTTTATTGCATACATTATGATTTCAGACAAAGTGTATTGTGTAACTTTCAGCTGATATCAAGTGACAGCAAATCTTCTCAGAACTCCAGTTATTTTCCCTAATTTGAATAATGGACGATTTTGATCTTTCCTTATATCTCCTATCTCTCTGAAAGACTTTTCAGAACTGTGCTATAATGATGGGTACAATTGTCTCCTTCATATCCCACATTTGTTTTAGTTCTCTAACAAGAACCATATACATAATTTACATTATTCGGACTATTGTCCTCATCTTTGTCGCCATATTTATTACAACGTTTCGGCCGTTGTACACTCCGCCCTTCTTCAGGTGGTTGGAATGTCGAACTGAAACCCTTTATTTCGCTCACTGGGGTAGACTGTTCTAGTTCCATGTGCCATGCTTAATGGATGTCATTTATCAGCTATCTCCTATTAATTTCCCTCTGGAGAGAGAAGGGAGATCACCGCCCTCTGTGGGATTAGGTTGAGAACATAGACAAGGAACACCATTGGAAAATTCGTAAACTTAAGGAATCAGCACATATGCTAGACCACAAAAATCTCCTGAGCTGACCAAGCATAGAAATGAATACAATATGGGAACCAGTAATAAGGAGTGCCAGAGAAAAGCAATAATAACAGCAAAAGTTGCAATATGAGCTCTGGTAAAAAAATGAATGATAACAGCAAAAACTTGCAATATGAGCACTGGTAAAAAAGGGTGGCTGAGACATTAGGTTTATAATACCTAGAAATTCATATACAGGTGTCCTCAAGGACACATGGCACAGTGGTTAGATCCAGTGACAGGGCCCAAAGAGTGTGAGTTCAATACCCAGTTAAGGCAGTGGAGAACTTTCAGAGGAAAATTAACAGGAGATAACTGACAACTGACATCCATTAAACATGGCACTTGGAACTAGAACAGTCTACCCCAGTGAGTGCAATAGAGGGTTCAGTTTGACATTCCAACCACCTGAAGAAGGCCGGACCGTGAAACGTTATAATAAATATGGTGACAAAGATGAGGACAATAGTCCGAATAATGGAAATAATGTACATAATACCTCATCTCAGAAATATAGACAGATACTGAAGAACCGTATATTTTGCAGCTTTTCCTTTTCTTCCACCATGGTCGGCTGGAACAGCAGTATTTATTGTCCTGCAGATCTTCGTTTCTTTATTTACAATAATTAGATCTACTCTCCCGGCTCTGCTCGACTGATGCCTTGTTACAGAATGAGTTGCCTGGTCCATAGTAGCAGATTACTGGTCAGAAACACCTGGAGGGGTGTAACTATCGCAGTGATGGATTGCCATTGTTTAAGCTTTGATATAAGACTAAAGGCCGCGAAAGAACACAGATGACTGCAAGAATTAGAAAGGCCAGTATGAATCACCCCATTCAGATCCCTTAGTGAGGCAAGCCAGCACGTGGCGACAAGATTTTGGCTAACCGGTTGACATAAGTCCACTCAATCATGTCCCTTTTGTTTTTCTCCTCGAAACAATGCTACGATTAATGTCACTCATAAAATAAAGCAAGATAAAAAAAAAGTCCGTCGTTGATGCAGTCTATGATGTATCATTAGGGTCAGAGGCTTCTTTTATGTGCGGTGTCCGTTCAGGACGTAGGCGATCATGGCCCTCCACATCTTCCTGTTCCTTGTACCTCTTAATAAGTTTTTTCTTGTTATTTCTTCCAAACGCTGTTCTACCATCCATTTACTCAAGCTCATCATGTTACGCGCTGTTTTCCTTTGTCTCTCTCTCCCTCAATCTGTCCTGTGAGTATCAGATTTTCCAAGCCCTCCTTCCTCGTTACGTGCCCCAGAAATTTAAAATATTAAATATTAGTATTATTTCTGTTTCCATTTTCTCTAAAACGTCGTTATTGCTCACATGTTCGGTCCATGGTATCCTCAGCATCTTTCTGTAGAACCACATTTCTCTTGCTTCAAGTCTCTTCTTCATCTTTGAGGAGATTGTCTAGCATTCGCTGCCATATATGAGAATAGATATCACGTAACCGTTCTCTACACTTTTCTTCATTTCTTACTAAGTTTTTCTGTCCCTTAATACTTTGCTTAGTTTTTGTAATGCAACTTTGAACATCCCAATGCGTCTTCGGATTTCAGTGTCACACTTTCTTTCCTCTGTTAGAACACTTCCCAGATATTTAAATTTTTGTACTTGTTTGATTTTAGTATCTCCGATTTGCAATTTGCCTTTTGGGCTCATCTTTTTGCTGATAACCATGCATTATGTATTTTGTAGTTTATACTTAGTCCTTTCTTCTCGCTTTCCTTCTCTACCTTACTAGATTTTCTATTTTTAGAAGAGTTCCTACTTTGTGCTTCAATCATTGGTGAATATGATCAAATTAAAATAGTTTGTACAATTCTCAATGGAATACCGTTCCTACCCATTCATGTCTATTTGTATAATTCTTTTAATTATCGTTATTATTATTATTATTATTATTATTATTATTCATGTATTTGAATGTACACACCAGATGTCTGTAGGTCATCACTAAAGACTAAGTGGCAGAAAGTTTCTTCAAATCTACAGCATCCTTCTCAGCATCCCTTTTCAGTATCCTATAAAACCCCTGTACCCTTCTCAGTATATATGTTGACCACAACAGTGTTGTGACCTGAGCGTCATCAAACTTTTCTCGATGTTCCAACGATCTAATTTCTATTCTAACGTTATTGGCAGCGTTCAATGCTCATCTATGGGCACGATCCTGATATTTATATGTCAAACCTGTTTCAACTCCCAGGCATCGTCTTGATAGTTTTCTAAATTCTTCCCCTCCTTCATATTCACATTGTTGGCAACTGTTGCAGAGACCTCTAAGCTCTTTTCGCTTCTTATTCACGACTATCAAATGCATGTTTGGATAAGGCGTTTGGTTTGGATGTCAGTATCCGAAAGTATTTTATTTTTTACTAGCCATTAACTGTAAGACAGAAACTATGGTCGTCAGTAAGAGGAAAAGCCAAATATACGAGGTACCCAGTAAAAATGTCAAGTACAGAACTTTAAATGTATGGGATGGTGTTGAAACTTGACTAATGCATGGAATAATAATGCAACACAAAATGTACTTAGAACAAAATGTATTGAAACAAGAAAGTGTACACAATATTTACATATAGTCTTTTGTATATTCCTGGTAAGACCGTTCCTGGAGAATGTGTTGACTGAGTCGCAGTCGGGCAGAGTCTCTGGTTGAATCTCTTGATTCCTCCCTCTCTTCCCGGTACCATCCATATTTATATGGTCGGTACTCCACTATGCAAATTAGGTGGATCCTACCACAACAGATGGGTTTTCACAGAGAATGAAAAATGCGATACTGAACTCCGAACGCACATTGGATTAGCCAAAGATGCTTTCCAAAAGCTAAATAAAGTACTAAGAAACAGGAAAATTTCATTAGAAGCAAAGAAAAAACTGCTGAACTTCTATGTGATACCAATCCTCATATAGCAGTGAAGGTTGAATACACACCACATAGATTTTTTTTAAGCATTATGCCCCGAGCAAGGAGTGAAGCTACTAGGATGCAGGGGGCTGCAGAAGATTTGGAGCAAGAGCAGATAGGAGTGATAGAAGAAAGGGTGTTCCACAGGCGAGAGGTGCGAGGTATGACGCTATTGGAGTAGAAGAGACGGCTACATTTAAAAGTTTCTACAGTGTAAGGGTGGGAGCGGGATGCCAGCCTCGTAGGGCGCTTGAATTTATGGAGTCTGGGAATCAGTGAAAGCAGCTCATCGGAACAATTACCATGAAAGTATTTGTCGAAAAGACAGAGAGAGGCGACGGCGCGTCTGTGAGAGAGTGACTGTAGACGAGACGCCAAATCAGGGCCAATTATATTACATATCCGTCTCTAGATCTTGTCAAGAACTCCGAGGTAAACAGAAGGTGCCCTAGACAATACATGGCAGCAATACTCCATGCAAGGGCGAATGGTTGATTTGTATATTTGAAGTATCGATTCCGGGGAGAAAAATTTCCTGGCGCGGCGCAGAGAGCCAACTTTCCTCGTGGTGGAAGAAGCAGTTGACTCAATGTATTTGTTCCATCTCAGGTCAGCAGTCAACTTGAGACCGAGCAGACGCAGGGAGTTGCTCTCAGGAAGTTGACTATCAGACATTCTAATGGTCGTGGTGGGGGGAAGTATCTCTATGGTGATTAATAGAGAGTAGTTTAGTTTTTGAAGCATTAAAGTTGACCAGCCAATTCTTGCCCCAATTAACAACCGATTGGAGGTCCACTTCAAGACGCTCGGCCAGGTTAGTTTTGTCACCAACACTAGATTTGTTTTTGAGGCAGGAGTAAATTGTAGTGTCGTCAGCGTAGATGCCAACTTGGGAATCTATGTCGTCAGGAAGGTCGTTGATGAAAATAAGGAATAGAGTGGGGCCAAGGATGAGAATCCGTTGAGAAAGAGATTCAATTCACGGTTTGACAGGTAATGATTGTATTAGATCAAACAATCGACCTGTAATACAATAACCCTGGAGCTTACAAAGGCCGGTATGCCAAACCCTATCAAACGCTTTGGAGATGTCTAGGGCCACGGCACGAGCCTCACCGTTATTTTGAAGGGCTTGGTAGACGGTTTCAGTGATGGCCGTAAGCACATCAACTGTAGTTCGGGCGTAGCGGAAA